TAGAGCACCGTGGCATCGCCTTGGTGGTAGTACCAAAATCTCAAGTATGGTAACTATGATGACTTTGGTTACCGAGCGAGCTGTTAACCATCCTGACCTGAGAGGGGCTGAAATGATTCAGGTGGTACATGAAAATGCAAAGATATTTTGAACTCTATCATTATATGAACTTGATGATGGCAGTAAAAAGAAGCTGATATCAGGTATAGGGGCTATGATGAATTCGGTTACTGAACGACTTCTTAACCATCCTGACCTGAGCAATGACTTATTGATTAAGGTTATGCAGGAAATTTCAAAAACATTTCTGGAACTTCCACGTCAGTGGCGGCTTCATGGTATTGAAATGCAGCAGATCTCTTTTGTTGAAAAAATGATGGCATTAGTTGCTGATCGAGTTATTAAACTTCCTGTCCCCATGAACACTGATGTATTGATTCAAGTGATGCAGGAAAACACTAAAGTACTGGAAGCAATACCATGGGAGAATATTAATGATGGTAGTGTTATTAAGCTGATCCCACGTATAGAAACTATAATGACATCGGTTGCCAATCGACTTGCTAAACATCCTGACCTGAACACTGATAAATTGATTCAAGTGATGCAGGAAAATATCAGGGTATTGCTAACACTACCATCGAATGAACTTGATGATGGCAATAAAATGAAGCTGAGCTCAGGTATGGAAACTATGATGACTTCCGTTTCTCAGCGACTTGTTAACAATCCTAACCTGAGCACTGATGCGTTGATTAGAGTGATGCAGGAAAATATCAGGGTATTGCTAACACTACCATGGAATGAACTTGATGATGGCAGTAAAATGAAGCTGAGCTCAGGTATAGAAACTATGATGACTTTGGTTGCTGAGCGGATTGTTAAACATCCTGACCTGAGCACTGATGCGTTGATTAAAGTGATGCAGGAAAATATCAGTGTATTGCTAAAACTACCATGGAATAAACTTGATGATGGCAGTAAAATGAAGCTGAGCTCAGGTATAGAAACTATGATGACTTTGGTTGCTGAGCGGATTGTTAAACATCCTGACCTGAGCACTGATGTATTGATTCAAGTGTTACAGGAAAACGCTAAAGTACTGGAGAAACTACCATGGGAGAAGATTTATGATGATGTAAAAAACAAGCTGACGTCAGATCTGGAAAGTATGATGAATCATGTAATTCAGCATTTGTCTAAACATCCTGAGATCAGTAATGACGTTTTTAAAGGTATACTTTGCATCAGTGATACTATTTTGAATAAGATTAGTTGGACTGATCTTAACAGCGATTTGCAGAACAATGTGCTCTCTTGTTTGGCCGAGCTGATGAAATTAGTGTCTGAAAGAGCTCTTGACCATGGCGTACGTGAAGTACTCAGTGACGCCGTATCTATTATACTTGCGATGTCATCTCTACTCCCACAGTCTTCTGATATTACTTCACGATTACAGTCACATCTTGAAGCCATGGTAGATTCAGTTGAGAAAGGACTTGCTTTGGGCCCCTACGGTTTGAGTGAAGTGATAGCCATGATGACTGCTGCATTAAATAAACTGAAGCCTGGCAACAAACTCTCATCTGAAGCGTTACTGGTCATTTTGTCAATAGTGTCTCGTATTACCAAAGATGAACTAGTAGGAATATGATGGGATATCGACGAAAAGGACCATTTCATGTCACTTCTACAGGACGTCAGACGTTTTCTACCCGAAGATCTGCCGGCTGCTTCTGATGTTACAGAGTTAAAATCACAAGTAGATAGCCATGTTGACACCCTGGATCGAGTGCTGCTTCAATTCAATGGTAAGAAGTATTCTTTATATATATGGGAATAGTTATACAATCTCCAGATATCTTGATGAAAATACAAAACAAAAAACACA